GAGGGGGGGGGGGATAAAATATAAAAGATGAGGTTGCATTGAATAAATACCAAATATTTCAAACCTCAAAAAATACAAGGCGAAATAACTACAATTGTCCCTAGAAGCTGCTTTAAAAGCCTTTTCATGTCATTAGTTTAGATTGAGCCGTGATGGTGGCCCTGGAGTTATTACTCACGCTCCGGCTTCCGCAATGTTATGTAACCTCTGTGGCGGAATTAGGGCCGGCCCTATAATGAGGCAGTTGCCTCAGGCGGCATCTCAATAGGGGGCGTGGCAGGTGTGGGGAGGGTTGGCCACTGCGTCACAGGTTGCTAAGAGCTCCTAGCAACCAGTGACGCTCTGTTCGGCTTCCCGTCAAGTTCACTGACATCACCAGTTGCCAGGGGGCAACCCCACTAAACCCTCCCCTTTCCAATGGCCCCAGGTAGCATGAAAGGTAGGGACGCCCGGGGTGCAATCATTGTTTTTGTACACAGACGCACCCGTCCTGTGTTTATGTTCATAGCTACAGGGGGGGTCATTTTTTTATTTCCTAAATAAAACTTTATTTTCTAAAACTTTTTTTAACTTTATTGCTATCACAGAGGGGCTGACAATCCCACCACTATCTGATGTCACAATGGAAGTGACAGGTTCTCTTTAAGGAGAAATCGAGGGGCCTGTTAGATTTTTCACAGAGACAATCAGTGAAAATGGATTTTCGCTCATCCTCCTCTGCGCTCCCTACTGACATCGGCCATTGAGGTCCCTGGCGGCCAGGTGGGCCAAACCATGTCGGGAGGAGAGGGATGACACGTTACTACACAATATTATGGGAGGCCCAAATCACATTCACAAGAAAGACTCTACTGGAATGTAAACAAGCTCCTGGTTGCCATAGCGACTGAGTCCGCTCACAGGTTCATGCTCTTGCTGGCAGCATAAGCCTTACGTCACTGGCAGGGAAAAGGTTAATACAGGTTGTTGGAAAGCGGCTGTAGACTGTTACCGGTCAGGATGGGGCTGAACCCTTCTTGTTTTATTAGAAATCACCAGGGACACAGACATCTATGTCTGCATGAACAGCATGCGTACACCAGTTCACTTTTTAACCACTTGCCATCCGACTGGCGGCTCACTCTTGAAGGCGGGTTGGCTTTACAATAGAAGCGCTTCTGGCGACTCAGCCAGATCGCTTCTACGGGCCCGCAAACTGCCCGCCCGACACCCCCGCTGTGTTTCCCGGGCTCCGCTGCCACTCCTACGGGCCCGGGACTGTCATTTAGGGTGTCGGTGGGAAGCTGGGGAGGAGATCGGCGAACATCCATTCACCGATCCCCTCCGCCACACAATGGAGCGGGGAGCAATGCAGATTACATCACTTCCAGTCCCATAGCTGTCAGTGCTCAGCTCCTGGAGCCCAGCAATAAGCTATTGAAGTGCGATCTGCACTTCAATAGCGTATTTAGAGTGTAAAGGTGATACTAGGGGCCCCAATATCACCTTAAAGGAGAACTATGGGGTTAGGGATTTTCCGCATAGTTCTCCTTAGGCTAACGGGAGGACACAAACTAGCGTCCTCCCGTCACCCTAGGCTCAGTATACCGCGAGCTGCAGCTGAAGAGGATCCCGACAATTGTGCCGAGATCCGCCCAGCTGCGTGACTGACACTTGGCTTTGCCTATCTAGAGGCAGAGCCAGCTGTACCCGCCCCCTCCCCTGTCCGTTCCGCCAGTCAGCGCCGGAGGATCGGAGTGGGGAGGGGGGAATCCAGCCCCTCCCCTGTTACGGCAGAGAGCCGTGATAGGATCGAGAGGTGAGCGAACGCCGGTATGTG